CATATGAGGCCAATCTTATGGCATCCTAACTTGCTTGATTTCTAAGTGTGAATTTTCAGTTATCTTGATTGTCTTCACTTTGATCGAATACTTAAAGGTTGTATGATATCAAAACACCCAAGCCTGAACATCCAAATTGATTGAACCAAAATGCCCAAAAATCAACAATGGTATCGATATTGTGCCAACAATATCGATACTGACTATTGGGTTCGATACTCACCTTGAGTATCGATGCCAAAAAAAAGCTTCGATGTTTTGAAATATAAGGCAAGTTTGTGAAAAAAATATCAATACTCCTTCATTGAACCCAAGTATCGATACCCCTTGAAGGATTATTGATATTTTTTTTCACAAACTTGCCTTATTTTTGCCTTATACAAAGAACAATATCGGTAATGTTCTTATAGTACATATGTCGAAGGCCTGGAGTGCCCTGTTCTAGGCACGAAATTGCATCTAAATCTCACCCATTCACTCCCATAAGACTAGAAAAGCTTATTAAAGTTTTTTAAGGTCTTAGAGGTCGAAAGGTATCATCTTTCATGCTTACAAACATCAAATGCGGGTTTTACCATGAAATTACTCGACCATGCTTCGTGAGCTAAACAAACCATATATGCACATATAATGACCTACATGTGGTATGTTCAAGTCAGAATCGTGTTACCTTGATGCTAGGTGACTAAAAAAAGTCTTTAAATCACCCAAGAGTTAGCTTCTCCTTGCCTTGGAGCTCTCACCCTTCTTTGACACTAATCAAAACCATGAAAATGAGGTGTTAACTCATTTTAGAATTTAAAGGAGTATTAGAAATGATTTCTACAACATAAAACTCCCAAAAAATGGACTGAAACCTTAAGGTTTCCTAAACCCTACTTAAACCCATTTTTGACTAACTCAACCAAAACTTGCAAATGGAAGCTTGAATAAGAGCTTGGAGGAAGAAGAATAAGATTCCACCTTAGTATAACTGAGTGGGTTTGAAATGAGATAAAGTTCTCATATTCTCTTGAAATTTTAGAGAACAATGAGAGTTTGAAACAAGAGGAAGAAGACAAGAAAATGGTGAAAATGAGATATGGTGAAAATGAGATATCAAAGGGTGGGGTGTTTCAGACATTAAGTCATCACTCTTGATGGGAAATCAACTTTGATTCAAATAAATGGGTTAATTATCCACCTAGTCCTTCCTCATTTGGGTTATATTCAAAGATAACATTTTAACACCTAATGGGCTCATCTTAGGCCCAAATCAATTTCAGTTGGGTCCAAAACTTCACAAGATAAGGGGAAATTATTCTAAGGTCCATTTGAATAAACCCGAAACTCCAAACCCAAAATTCAGGGTGTTACAACTCCCCTTCCTAAAAATATTTTATCCTCAAAATTTACCAAAAGAGAAGAGATGGGGATATTGAAGCTGTATATCCTCTTCGGGCTCCTAGTCCCCTCCTTTACTCCATGGTTCCTCCACAAAACCTTCACTAATAAAATCATTTTGTTCTTTAGTTCCTTGACATCTCTGGCAAGGATTCAGATTGATTCTTCTTAATAAGTCAGATCTTGCCTCACTTTAACTTGCTCAAAGGGTATAACATGGGATGGATCAAATCGATATATTCGAAGCATGGATACGTGAAACACATTGCGGATGCGCTCAAGCTCGACGTTAATCGATATGCCACTGGCCCAACTCTTTGTAAAATCTCATATGGTTTGATGAATCGTGGAGTCAATTTACCCTTGTGACCAAACCGAATTACCTTTTTCTATGGGGAAACCTTTAGGCATACCTTATCTCCCACTGCAAACTATATATCCTTACGCTTCAGATCAGCATACGACCTCTATCTATCCAAGCCTCTTTCAATCGACTCTAAATCAATTAAACATTTTATTTGGTTTCTCGAATCAAGTCGGAACCTACGATCTTACCCTCACTGAGGTCCGTCCAACATAACGGAGTCCTACACTTGCACCCATACAAGGCTTCATAAAGATCCATCTGAATACTTACCTGATAACTATTATTGTACGTGAATTCCACCAATGGCAAGTGATCTTCCCAACTACTCTAAAGTTCTAAAACAGTGCACCTAAACATATCTTAAAAGATCTGAATGACACGCTTGGATGGTCCATCTGTCTGAGGATGAAAGACAGTGCTAAAGAGAGAAATTTAGTACCCAAATATCCATGTAGTGCTTTCCATAATAGAGAGGCAAAACGTTGATCTTTGTCAGATATGATCGAGATAGGAACTCCATGCAACCTCACAATCTTGCGGATGTACAACTAAGAGGAAATTATTCTAAGGTCCATTTGAATAAACTTGAAACTCCTAACTCGAAATTCAAGGTGTTACAACTCCCTCTCCTAAAAAGAAATTTCATCCTCAAAATTTACCTGAAGAGAAAAGATGAGGATACTGAAGTTGTATATCCTCTTCGAGCTCCCATGTCGCCTCCTCTATGCCATGGTTCCTCCACAAAACCTTCACTAACAGTATTATTTTGTTCCTCAGTTCCTTGACATCTCTAGCAAAGATTCTGATCGGTTCTTCCTAATAAGCCAGATATTGCCCCACTTTAACTTGCTTAAGGGGTATAACATGGGACGGATTAAATCGGTATCTTCGAAGCATGGATACATGAAACGCATTGTGGATGCACTCAAGCTCCAAAGGCAACATTAATCGATAAGCCACTGACCCAACTCTCTAAAATCTCATATGGTTTGATGAATCGTGGAGTCAATTTACCCTTCTGTCCAAATTGAAGTACCTTTTTTCTATGGTGAAACCTTTAGGAATACCTTATTTCCCACTATAAACTCTATATCTTTGCATTTCATATCAGCGTACAGCCTCTGTCTGTCCAAGCCTCTTTCAACAGATTCTGAATCAACTGAACTTTTTGTTCGGTTTTTTGAATTAAGTCGTGGCCTATGGTCTTACCCTCACTAAGCTTATCCAACACAACGGAGTCCTACACTTGTGCCATACAAGGCTTCATAAAGATCCATTTGAATACTTACCTGATAACTATTTTGTACGCAAATTCCACTAATGGAAAGTGATCCTCCCAACTGCCCTTAAGATCTAAACATTGCACCTAAGCATATCTTAAAAGATCTAAATGACGCGCTTGAATGGTTCATCTATCTGAGGATAGAAGAATGCTAAAGAGAGCAGTTTAGTACCCAAAGCTCCATGTAGTGCTTTCTAGAATCGAGAGGTTAAACACTGATCTTTGTCGAATAAAATCGAGATAGAAACTCCATGCAACCTTACAATTTCGCGGATGTATAGTTGTTCCAATCTCTCTAATGTGAAGTCTATCCGAACCGGAAGAAAGTGATCAGATTTGGTCAGGCAGTCCACTTTAATCCACACTGCATCATGCCAAAATCTCATCATCGGTAGACTAGTTACAAAGTCTATAGTCACATGTTCCCACTTCCATTATCGTATCTGAATCGGTTGTAGTAATCCTGAGGGAACCTTATGCTCCGCCTTTACTTGCTAACACATTAAGCATTTAACAACAAACTCGAATACTTCCCTCTTTATGCCTGGCCACTAATACAAGGGTCAGAGTTCTTGATACATCTTGATACTACCCGGATTGATAGAAAGGGGGCTGTAATACACTTCATGAAGGATCTTGTAACGTAGTTTCTTGTCTGTGGGCACACACAAATATCCTTTAAATTGTAGCACACTCTCATTGCTCAACTCATAACCTGAGGCCTCACCTCGAATGACTTGCTATACTCAGGTCTTCAACCGATCATCTGAACTTTGCAATCTCTTAACTTAACCCACTAACTCATGTTCAACCCACAACTTGACTAATAAATTACCCGAGTCAATCAAACTCAGACGCGCTAGTAAAGCTCGTAACTCTACAATGGTCTTCTTGCTCAAAGTATCTGCAACAAAGTTTGCTTTATCGGAATGATAGTCGATCACACAATAATAATCCTTTAGAAGATCTACACATCTTCGTTGCCTCAAGTTCAACTCATTTTGACTAAGCATATATTTAAAGCTCTTGTGATCCATAAAGATGTGACACTTCTCCCCAAACAAGTAATGTCTCCAAAATTTGTTTCGCTCGTGAGGCTTTAGTTGACGAGTCGCATAGGCCAAAACTTTTCTTTCTTGTATCTAGACACACCCAAATCCATTTAATGACGTATCACTAAATACGGTAAAGTCTTTACTTGATTCCAGTTACGTTAAAATGGGAGCTTGACTGAGGTTTTCTTTCAATTAGTCAAAACTCTCTTGACGCTTATCATTCCATATGAAAAGAACTCTTTTCTAAATTAACTTGGTTAACGGTGCTGTAATCATTGAGAAACACTTGATGAAACAATGGTAGTACCCTGCAAGGCCTAAGAAACTGTGCACATTGGTAACATTATTAGGCGGTTCCCACTCTAACACTGTCTAAATCTTCTGAGGGTTTACTCAGATGCCATCAGTTGCTATAACATGACCCAAAAATACAACTTTGGTCAACCAAAATTAACTCTCCCCAAACTTTTCATATAAACTGACACTCCTGAAGTGTTTGCAGAATGATGCGGAGGTGATGATCATGCCCTTCTTCGGACCGAGAGTACATAAGAATATCATCGATAAAGACCACAAAAAACTAATCTAGATAGAGATATAATACACAGTTCATCAAATCCATGAATATCGCCGAGGCATTGGTGAGTCTAAATGATATTACGAGAAACTCATAATGGTTGTTCCTTGTCCTGAAAACAGTCTTGGCAATGTCAGCATCCTTGACTTTCAACTGATAATATCATAACCTCAAGTCTATCTTAGAAAACACAAATGCTCCCTTGAGTTGGTTGAACAGATCATCTATCATAGGGAGAGGGTAGCGGTTCTTGATAATTAACTTATTTAGTTACCGGTAGTTGATGCACAACCTCATCGACTTATCATTTTTCTTGAAAAAAAGGACCAGCGCTCCCTAAGGCGAAATGCTTGATCGAATGAAACCCCTCCCCAACAACTCATGAATTTGATTCTTTAACTCCTTCAACTTTGTTTGTGCCATATGATAGGGTGTAATGGACACCAGAGTTGAACCTGGAAAAACCTTTATGCTGAACTCAACCTCACGGTCTGGTGGTAACCCCGGTAACTCATTCGAAAATATATCAGAGAACTCTTGCACGGTACGAATACCTCCAGCATTGGAATATAACCTTGCATGTATACCACATGAGCCAAGAAGGCTTCGCACCCACCCTTGACTCAATAATCTCTGAGCCCTGACTGCAAAAACAACCTTCGTAATGTAACCCGATATCTCAATGGTCATCACTACTTTGGTTCCATCATCTTTTCAAAGTTTAAGTTATCTCGGCTTACATCTCAAACTTACATCATGCTTTGTCAGCCAATCCATGCCTAGGGTCAAATTAAACTTCTATAATGGTATTTCCATTAAATCGACCGAGAACACTTTACCATGAAGCTCTACGGGGCAACGACAGTGAACCTTATCAATCAAAACATCTAATCCCCTACGACTAGACACTCTGACCCCTATCTCTAAATCTTCGACTAGAATATTTCTCTCTTGAACAAGGTCATAGAAAACGTAGGAGTGGGTGGAACTCGGATCTAATAATGCAATAACAAGAATTGAAAAGGCTATAAATATACCTAAAATCACGTAAGCAACATCGCACTTCTCCTGGTCTCGCATGACATACTAGCACGAGGTTAATCTAGACTCTTAGCCGGTCTCAAATCTGGTGTTACCCCTACTGTATTATCTTGAAGTAGCTCTGCCATCCCTCAAGGACCCTCTATCTCACTGAATAGATGACACATATCTTTACGATGATGCGGGGGTTGAACTCTGAGCTCGGGGACAGTTTCTGACAAAATGGTCCAAGACCCACAACTAAAGCAACCTCATGTTGCCCGATAACACTCTCTATGGTGTCTACACCTACAAGTCAATCAACTGGGTGAACTGGTGTTTACTCAAACATACTGGCACTCTATCTAGCAGCTGATGACAAAGGTCTCCTATGAGAGCCATATCTACCCCCGCATTCTTAACCTTGAGTTGCTCCCCTATACGACCTTTATGGTGTTCTCCCTGAAATATAGGGGCCTCTGGCTTACTTCACTAATGACTGTGATGACCCAGCTGTCTCTAGAGCCATCTGGCTTTGACCCACTGAATCACTCATCTCTTGAGCCTTCTTGTACAAAATTATTTCTACTATTTTTCCCTGGCGAGTCAAGTCTACAAAGACATGATGAGGGTTGGCTATCAATTGAGTGAGGATATCCAAGTGGAGGCCCTCCATAAACCTTATGGAACGGTGAGCCTTATTCTAAACGAGCTCTGGTGCATATACTCAACCGGATGAGCACTTTCTCGTACTCTAGCACAGTCCTATCGCCCTGGGCCAGGTGCTGGAATTGGTCTCTCAAATCATTGGTATGTGTCTTCTCTATATACTTCTACCTAAACTCTAAAAGGAAGTACTCCCAAGTGAGTCTCTTTGGCTTGCCCTCTCTACGATCTCCCACCAGTCGATCGCGTCACCTTTCAGAAGGATAGTGACACACTCTAGCTTGTCTTCGGGAGTGAAATACAACTAGTACAAAGTATGAAGTATCTCACTGAGCCACAGATCTACAGAGATGGAGTCGTCGTTCCCATATCCATAGAAGTCAGTAGTCATGTACCTATGGAGCCTCTCAACAAGGGCTCCTAAGATGCCACGGCAGGATTGACCGGAGCCACAGTGGGGAAGGTTGCATAGTGGCTGGGTTCAAAATAGCATAAATAATCTGCCTATAAGTCAAAGTCAGATCGTAGAAGAATGTCACCCCATCGACTTCTATGTCCATAAGTATCTCGTGCTTAGAGTTCAAGGGTAAAATCATCATCGGAATCTCTATCAGGGAGTCTCAACTCTCTTCTTGGCCCTCATAACTAGGAACGGTGTCGTCGTCCATGATCTAAGCCTGCAATTAGAAAGAAAAGAGAGGTCATTATTGCCATTCCATAAACTTAAGTATCATTGATACTCTAGGGGCATGTACTTGTACAGATACTTACTAACTCTGACTCGCGGGGTCCTAGGAACGACTAAACCTGGACGCTCTAATACCACTAAATGTAATACTCTAATTTAGTCTGACCCGAAGATCCATGGATTAAGATGTCACACGGGACCACCGAAATTGTCAACCCATAAAATTATATTTAAAATATTTATAATAAACAAAATCATTCGTCATAATATAAGTGGAATCGAGTTCAAGTTTACAAAATATGAGAGTATCCCAAATACGTACAAATACAACCATAGAGTTTAAATAAAAATAGAGTTATGACTCAAATAATACAAGGTCCACATAAAATTCATGCCCTCGAAAATATACTCAAGACATACTTTTTAAATGTCTGGTCTGGAGTGTATCTATGCGATAGGCTCCTCGTCGATCCTCTACTGACCTGCACATAGAAACACATTCTATACGTCGAGCTCGCAAGCTCAGTGCCATGAAAATAACTATGCAATACAACATGCATTCATTACATGAACATACCGATGTGTAAAGTCATAAACATGCAAAGTATACAGACAAACATGAGATAGACCTAGTGATGTGGTCGGAGCAATATTACATGCATCTCGGATAGAATACCAACCTATCTAGAACGTGATAGCTTCAGTAAGAACCAAAATTTTACGTGCATCAGAACTTATAGCCCTAGTCTATCTCTAATACTCGAGAGGTCGAGTTGAGGACCGGAATTTTACGTGCATCAGAAGCTTGCATTATAAACCTATTCAAACATAGGGTACGATCTAGAATTTTATGTGCATCGGATACCTCTTCAAACAATATCCAAATATTTTACGGATAGAGGACAATCGTCATAAATATAGAGTGACTCGGGTGTCCTAGCCATTTCTTGAGCATCATATAAGGTCAATCTTATGTCATCCTAACTTGCTTGACTTCTAAGTGTGAAATTTCAATTATCTTGATTGTTTTTACTTGTATCGAATACTTAAAGTGTAACACCCCAACTCGTATTCGACCCAGATACGAATCCGAGGTGTCACATTGACTTTTCAAAACATTTATTTTTAATAGATAGTTGAAATTTAAACATACATTTGAAAAAAAAGTGGTGAAACATTTGATCAAAAGTAAATAAACATAATTTAACTTATATTGAAATTAAAAACTCAATAATTTACATAAATATAGTAATGTATGTCTACAAAAACGATAAGAGCATATGTGATTCAAAACTTTAATTACATGCCAACACCTTAATACCACAAAATAATATACTATATAAGTTGATTCTAATTTGATCTTCTCGTATGAGTATGTTATCTTGTCGAATCTTAACTTTGCTCGTCCCGCTTCTTTGAACCTACGTGTGAAACACTCACACACTAACTCACGAACTTAATGAGGTATATGAAGTACAAAATAAAACTTTAAACACCTGACGTAATCTAAGCATTTAATACCACCATATATTACAAAAATCATAGAATATATCAGATAATGAAATGCAAACATGTAGACATACCAACATTATAATGCAATGTTCATTTATATCTTTTCTTTTAATAGCCCGTGGTACATCATTGAGAACTTAAGGTATGTTAGTGCATTGAGGTTGTGCACAAATGTTGTCACCACAGGTCGTACAAATTGCACCAAAGTGCCACGTAGAAATTGCACCGAAGTGCCACATAGAAATGTCCCAAAGGACCACATAGTATTGTCCCGAAGGACCACGTAAAAATGTCCCAAAGGACCACATAGAATTATCCCAGAGGACCGCGTAGAACACTTGACTCTTGGCATACCAATTATAGCTTTAGCTCTCATATCACATACTTATGGGCTTTATTTTTATACCATTTCACATAGCTTATCACATCGACATGTACTCACATAGACCATTTTCACATAGCTTGTATCTTATTCATATATATCCACATAGATCATGTAACACACATCTCATGTATATCAATGCATGTCACATATAAACATATACTTATACTCATGTACACATAGAAATTATATCAACAATATACTTGTATTCATGAACTCATACAATCAAAACATTTGAAATAGACACATTGCAAGTCTTCTTTCCATATGACCATATTTCATAGTAATATGCACTCACCTGGTTCACTAGTCAAAGCAACGCTTATGACTCTTGAACGATCTTATAGCTTTGAATCATCTTGGACTTGCCTTCGTTCGATATCTACACAAATATATGATCGATATGAATATCAGAATTTGAATCACTAATAATCAATCATCCAAAGTTAAGCTCAAAGAGACACTTGATTCACAAATTTATTCTGAATAGTATCGGTACCCCAGGCCTAATACCAATACTTCCTCATTATGGTATCGATACTATACTTTAGTATCGATACCCATTCTTCATTCTGAAATTCAATGTCTAAAAATGGTACCGATACTTGTCCATTAGTATCGATACCCTTGGTATCGAAGCTACTCCATTGGTATCGATACTGATTAAAGCATTTCATCAAATTTTACCTTATGGTATTGATACTTTTCTTCCAGTATCGATACCCAAACCCATATTCACCTATTCTTACTTTGAAGTATCGGTATTGTTATCCAGTACCGATACCCCTTGCCCAGAATTTACTCATTTCAACCTGAAAATTTACCAACATTTAAATCTTCCATTTTGATATCTTTTTAAGCATACAAACTTAACTACACTTATTAGAACTAACTTATGTCACTTTAACACACTTCAACATCCAAAATTCAACCATATCACTTAAAACTAAAAATCTTACCAATTATTCAACATGTTCTAAATCCATTAATAACACTTTAGATTTCTTATTTCAGCTCATGACAAGTCAAATTTCACTTCAAAATCCATTTATCAACTCTTTCTCAATAATTCACTTAAAAACCCTTTATATTCAAAATCTCATAAGTTATAAATCTTTGAGTTTCTACTTCTCTTTAAGCTTACTTAAGCTTTCCTATTACTCCAAGAATCAAAGCCAACTTAAAAATGAAAGAAAATATTAACTTGAGACTAGTTCACCTTACGAAAGGATTCACGGGAAGAGAAGAAGAATATAGTTGAACCAAAGTCTCCAGATTTTTCTTTCATTTCTTCCATTCTCCACGTGTATATATAAAACATCCATAATGAATTTTTTATTCATTTTTATATCAAATGACCATTATGTCCTTCCATCATTTCTCCTTTGTTATTCAATCCTACACAATAATATTTCCAATTAAGTCTAAACTTTTCAATTTATCAAAATTGATCACAAAGTTTCAAAATCTTACATTATGATCACTAACCCAGTATCTGGGATGTTACATAAAGCTTGTACGATCTCAAAATACCCAAGACTGAACCTCTAAACTGATTGAACCAAAATACCCAAAAATCAACGATGGTATCGATATTATGCCAGTAGTATCGATATTGACCCTTAAATATTAATATTTACCCTGAGTATCGATACCAAAAACAGGTGTGATGTTTTGAAAAATACCTTGGTATCGATACTCCTATGGGGTGTATCAACAGCTTTGTGTTCGAGTTCAACCGGTAGATGAATTCATTTCCATAGACTAGCTTGAATGGGGACATTCTCAGCGGTGTCTTGAATGCTGTGCGAT